AAATGACCTTCTGATTGCTTCAGACAAAGGACTCGTCTCTGTACTTGTTTTATTAGATCTTAGTGCGGCGTTTGACACAATTGACCATCAAATTCTACTGCAGAGACTGGATCACTTAATTGGCCTAAAAGGTTCTGCACTAAGCTGGTTTAAATCTTATTTATCTGATCGTTTTCAGTTTGTTGACGTTCATAATGAATCATCCTTACGTACCAAAGTTTGTTTTGGAGTTCCGCAAGGTTCTGTGCTCGGACCAATCCTATTTACTCTATATATGCTTCCTTTAGGTAACATCATTAGAAATCACTCTATAAATTTCCATTGTTATGCGGATGATACACAGTTGTATTTATCGATGAAGCCAGAAGAAAGTAATCAATTAACTAAACTCCATAACTGCCTTAAAGACATAAAAAATTGGATGAGCACCAATTTCCTGATGTTAAATTCAGACAAAACTGAAGTTATTGTTCTTGGCCCCAAACAACTCAGAGACTCTTTATCTGATGACATAGTTTCTCTAGATGGCATTGCTCTGGCCTCTAGCACTACCGTAAGAAACCTCGGAGTAATATTTGATCAAGATTTGTCTTTTAATTCTCATTTAAAGCAAACCTCACGGACTGCATTTTTTCATCTGCGTAATATTGCGAAAATTAGGCCTATCCTGACCCGAAAAGATGCAGAAAAATTGGTCCACGCTTTTGTTACCTCAAGGCTGGATTACTGTAACTCTCTATTATCAGGTAGCTCTAGTAAGTCCTTAAAAACTCTCCAGCTAATTCAGAATGCAGCAGCACGTGTACTAACAGGAACTAAGAAACGAGATCATATTTCTCCTGTTTTAGCTTCTCTGCACTGGCTCCCTGTAAAATCCAGAATTGAATTTAAAATCCTACTGTTAACTTATAAAGCTCTAAATGGTCAAGCTCCGTCATATCTTAGAGAGCTCATAGTGCCATATTATCCCACCAGAACACTGCGCTCTGAGAACGCAGGGTTACTCGTGGTCCCTAAAGTCTCCAAAAGTAGATCAGGAGCCAGAGCCTTCAGCTATCAGGCTCCTCTCCTGTGGAATCATCTTCCTGTTACGGTCCGGGAGGCAGACACCGTCTCCACATTTAAGACTAGACTTAAGACTTTCCTCTTTGATAAAGCTTATAGTTAGGGCTGGCTCAGGCTTGCCCTGTACCAGCCCCTAGTTAGGCTGACTTAGGCCTAGTCTGCCGGAGGACCCCCTATAATACACCGGGCTCCCTCTCTCTCCCTCTCTCTCTCTCTCTCTCTCTCTCTCTCTCTCTCTCTCACTCTCATCCTATTACTGCATCTTGCTAACTCGGCCATTCTGGATGTCACTAACTCGGCTTCTTCTCCGGAGCCTTTGTGCTCCACTGTCTCTCAGATTAACTCATATCGCAGCGGTGCCTGGACAGCGTGACGTGTGTGGTTGTGCTGCTGCCGTGGTCCTGCCAGATGCCTCCTGCTGCTGCTGCCATCATTAGTCATTAGTCATACTTCTACTGTTATTATACACATATGACTATTGTCACACATGTATACTGCCAGATATTAATACATACTTTCAACATATTGTACCACAGTAGCCAGAACTATAACTATAATATTATTACTTTCAATAATGTTGTTGTAAGCTACTGTCATTACCTGCATCTCTCTCTCTCTCTCTCTCTCTCTCTCTCTCTCTCTCTCTCTCTCTGTCTCATTGTGTCATATGGATTACTGTTAATTTATTATGCTGATCTGTTCTGTACGACATCTATTGCACGTCTGTCCGTCCTGGAAGAGGGATCCCTCCTCAGTTGCTCTTCCTGAGGTTTCTACCGTTTTTTTCCCCGTTAAAGGGTTTTTTTTGGGGGAGTTTTTCCTTATCTGCTGTGAGGGTCCAAAGGACAGAGGGATGTTGTATGCTGTAAAGCCCTGTGAGGCAAATTGTGATTTGTGATATTGGGCTTTATAAATAAAATTGATTGATTGATTGATTGACAGTCATAAAAGCATCAAAATAGAGCTTGTTTATTGAAAAGTATCAGGGGAGGGTCCCCCAGACCCCCACAGAGGTCCAGGCTAAGCCCAGAATGTCCTCAGATCCCCAAAACACCCCTGTGCACACCTGACCTGTGTGGGACTTTTGCAACTGGCCATCTGTGATTTTGCAAAGTGGCCCCTGGGAAAAGCAAATTAAGTGTCCCTGGCATAGATTGTATAAAAATAACTGACGTAGCCAATGTGATGTCACCTGTTGGTTTGTGGACTTGCACTTTGAAGCTTCAAGTTTGCCATTTTGGCCATAGTGATCTTGGATTTTTGGAGCCACAAGTGACCAAATTTAGATTAGAGGGTGTAGTTATAAAAAAAATGTACCCCCCCCATACAGTTGTCTTGAACGGGGGAGTAAGCGAAAGAGACCAAAGCTGTTTTTTATACCAGGCTATAAACGTGTTTATTTCTGACGTTAAGTTGGACATTTTAACATGGGCACCTATAGGGATTGAATCACTTCTGGAGCCAGCCTCAAGTGGCCATTAGAAGAACTGCAGTTTTTTGGCACTACTGTGTTGGCTTCATTTTTTAGCCACGGACGTTGCTGCATGGGTGGGAGGGAAAATAGTAAAACTTCTGGTGGTAGGGAGGTGGAAAATGGAGATGCAATTTATCTGGGACGTCTGAGCAGATCAATCGCAGGGACACATTGACTGTAAAGATGTAACATCTCCATTTATCAACAAATGTCTTCTTATGAAAGAGCTGGTTGCATTCTCTCAGGTGCACTGACCTACTTTATGCACATATTATGGCTCCTGGGAAAAAAAAAAAAAAAAAAAAGACCTGATAACTTTCCTAATTTTCAGTCATAAATATAATGTTATAATACCAGATGCTTGTATTAACTGTGGCCAAGATTTAAAACAATTAGGTTTGTAGCAAGCTGTGGTTTCCAGCTAACAAGAAGGAAGCTGAGAGATGAACTCTGAACCAGGAAGTGCTCTGTGGTTAGTTGTAGTACAGGTAGACATGTTGGATAAAATATTTATTTTTATAGAACTAAATTATCTTTGCAGGTTTGGGACCTAATTGGGGTTAGTACGGAAAGAGTAAGAAACATTAAGAAAAAGTTAAAAGATTAATTAAGTTAAATTAAGAAAGATGAAGTGGAAAACAAGCTTTTTTATGTCCTCTTAAAGGCGCTCTATGTAAGAATGTGGCCATGACGGTTACTGCACTCAAATTCAAAATACTGCCACAAGTCCTGCGGTGGGTGGCGCAACAGGCCAAAACACAAATTCAAAACATAACCATAATTTGCGGACCGTAATTTTTTTTTTTTAAATGCGAATATTCCGGCTGTACTATTGTTGTCAGTGAGATCAGTATGTTATATGAACATTATTCCTTAGTCTCTGTGACATATTAGGATGATTTTACGACTATTTGCTTTAGATTTTGTACATATAGCTCCTTTAAAGACTTCTAAGACAGCTTTGTTAAATTTGTTGCTTAAGCCTTAAACAGACAGTTCACCCCAAAATCAAATGTATATATATATTTCTCTTACCTGTAGTGCTGTTTATCAGTCTAGATTGTTTTGGTGTAAGTTGCCAAGTGTTGGAGATATCAGCCGTAGAGATGTCTGCCTTCTCTCAAATATAATGAAACTAGATGGCACTCGGCTTGTGGTGCTCAAAGTGCCCAAAAATCATTTAGAAAACTCAACAGCAATGTGTCTTTCCAGAAATCATGACCCAGTTACTCAAGATAATCCACAGACCTTGTTGTGAGCAGTTTCATGTAGGAACCTTTTTCTTTCTACTTAACAACATCCGCCAACCGTATCACTGTGCAGAAGGAAGTGTGCATCTACTCACTGGCAAGAGACAGCGTGAGATGTAAACATTAATGGCGTCCTCCTCGGTAGTGCTACTAGAGCTACTGTAGTAGTAGATGCACGCTTCCTTCTGCACGGTGATTCGGTTGGCATGGACGTATCTATTTTCGTATGTAAAACAGAGTCGAGGGAAAATATGTTTGCGATATGTGACTCCAGCATCATTTTATCTACACATCTTTTTTCTGGGAATCCCCTTGAACTGTTTTGCAGACAGAGGACCCCTGGGGGTTTAAGATCTCGCAACTGCAAAGAAAATCACTTCTGAGAAAAAACCCTTCCAAGAAAACTATCCTTGCATGAGACGTATATATCGCTGCTGAGTTAATCAGTAAGGAAAAAAGGATTCAGAGAAAGAATCTTCTCAACTTACTGTAGAGACACACTGCTATCATCCATGAGCTGGAGCACTGACTTACAAACCACTATTTCTACTACTTCATGCTTTTAAGCAACACAAACTTGACATCATCAAAAGCAACCTGCCTTGATCCATATTCCTCTCCAGCAGTCATACTGAGCTAACAACCAAGAAGAAAAGTTAAAGTCTCGTGAGTCAGCTGAAGCACACCGATTTAGAATGTGCGAGAATGTAAAGCACACTTCGCACTCTCCTGAGTTAATTTAAATGCAGTTAAAGTTAGTTTTCTTTAATTGCCTTGTCATTCTCTAACACATCACATGCTGAAGCACCACTCCTCTGCGCTCCCCGTCCTCACCCTCACGAGGCACTCGATGCAGAGAGCAGTGGTCAGCCAGTATGCCCACTGAATGTGTATGTGCGTCGCAGGAAAGGCAGCATCCATCACGTTTCACATTTTCTGACACCTGTAGTTGAAAGCCGAGTGCTGAAAGACTGTGTGAGAGCGGGGAAGAAAGTGTGATGGACAGAATAAAATTGAAAGGGTGAATAACGGGTGAAAAGGGAGCGCGAAAAAGACAGCAGAGGAGAGTGGGAGGGATGAGGAACAATTACTGGAGCTGCATGAAAGGAATAATTATGCATTTTTATGAAGAACAGTAGAGCACAGGCGTAAACGTAGAAGAGCAAAGTGGGGGAAAATTGTGGTGTAGCGTGGAAAAATCTGTCACATCATGTTAATAAATACATGTTTAATTTAGCATACACAGAAATCAGCTGACATCTCAGAAATGCATTTGTACAAAACAAAAGTGTGCAGGTTTGTAAACTAAGAATATCAAAGTATCTGTGTCGTGTTTGGTCTGCAGACCTGGATATACGTTTACAGTACATGAATGACTTACACTGTGTAGGACTGTTGTTCCAGATGGTTTTTGAGAGCAATTTCAAAAACGACTAACAAACAAAAATATAAACTCAAAGCAAATCTGAGGTGGAATTTAAAGAAAAACTCATTATAATCTTTGGGCCTGCCATCATATTAATGGATCCAACATTTAAGATTCAGAATACATCAACAAAACTTCAGAATTTTATGACCTTGACCCTATTTTCCCCTGATATTGTGTCTAAGGCCGCATGTCCACCAAAGTGTTTTATCCCAGCTGAAAAAGCCAGATGCTAACGAGCAACTGCCCACCTAGGAGTGCTTTGAAGCACTTAAAAAAAAGGTCACACCTTTAAAGTGAGACACTATGGTTGCGTCTGGTTGCTGTGATACAGAATATCCACAGAAGTAAACATGTCAGCACAAGGTAGAGGACTCGCTTTGGCAGCACGTAGGGAGAGAGGATGGACCCGCCGGTCTGCATGGGGTTCATGAGAGTAAACATCTATTAATATATTTACAGTGTGTAACATATTTGTCCTCCATCGCTGTTGTCGTTGTTCAGCACTTGTACATATAAGATATGATGATTTATCTTTATGGTATTTGCTCCACCCCTTCTCCACTGTGATTAAAGGTTTGGGTAAAAAGTGGCTGTGACGAGCACAAGGTTTTACCCAAAGTTGAACATTTTGGACTCTCGGTGCTCAGAAGAAAACACAAACGTTCAGAGCTCAGAGCAGAATAGACACTTAGCACCTTGTCGTAGCGTAGCGTAAACACACGGCGCTCAAACTTGCAATGATTTTTAAAATACAGTGGCCCCAGGACACAGCCTCTAAGTGACTACTGAAGACAACTTTTGAAACTGGTCCAGTGTTGAGGGAGACCACTGGGCGCAACAGACTACAATGTGATCCATACAGGCAATTGTAAACTGTCAATTTACGTCTACTAAAAGAGCTTGTTTTTGCCACTGACAGGATCAGATTGTTATAAGAGGTGTCTGACAACAATATGGAAAAGAGAATGGGAACGTTTATCTTTATCTTTCCCTGGTCTGTTTGTTATTGTGACTATTAAGTCTTGCCCAAGGAGAAGTCTCGTTCTGAAATCTCACAAGTCGACTTGCTGCAAGAAAAACAGAAGAGTAGTGAGAGTTGGAGAGAGGAGTGCCGGGAGGAGTTTGTTGTGTTGGAGTACAGAAAACGTAGCTTAGCGTTATCTAAAAGATTTTCAATTTCATGGCTAAATATTAAGTCGGGACAGGCATTTTAAGTAACTTGCAAATACTGGCAAAAACAAGTGAACAGTCATGTTAACTGGTTAACAATGGGAAAGAAGTGCAATTTCAAATTAATGTATTTAACAAACACACTTCAGTTTACCTTTTAAACCATAAATTCAAGGGCAAAATAAGAACAATCTGCAAACTTTCTGTTACTGCTGTAACGTTACATGGTTCAAGACCCAGCATTGAAGGACAGTCCCCAAGGTGCTATCCTCCTGGTCAGTTCAACGTCTGCCTAATTAGCACAAACAGCTTGACAGACCATCACAAAGGGGCGGGGCTTAGCAAAGGATCAATAGCCTGTATGGATTATATTGCAGCCTGTTTCACCTCTGTGGCATTTAATAAAAAGTGTTGTCTCCTTTAGTCACGTTGTCACAGAAACATGGGACAATAGGGTCCTTTTAGGAGTCAAAACCATTCATATGTTCCAAACATACATACAGTTAAATAAACCTTCTTAAAAGAAATGCTACTAAAACTTAATTGATGGAAAACAATACAAAGAACTAATAAAAAGCACCATATAGGCATCCTGTTGAGGCACACCTGACACAACTGGATAACATTTGAAGCTATTAAAACACAGAAATGACTTTCATTAAAAAGAAAAATGAACCCGCACAGTTCTTCTACAGGACACATGGGCTGTATTTGCACTGTTATCTTCATTATGGGCTACTGGACTGTGGTCTACTCTGAGCAGAAAAGCAAAACGGATTTACACATGCAAGGAAACACCTCTTGCTCCAAACATGAGAGTCATCGATTGAATCTGATCATCTGGATTTGCATACTGGTTCAAGAAATCAGGTCCTTGTTGTGTGCGTCTCACATGTATCTGTTCTTGACGTACTCCCTGTACATCAGCATGTCCTCTCTGCACAGCACCCTCACCTGGCCCTGACCCGTCGTCACATGGCTCTCAAACTCATCGCGGCTGTCTCTGTCCACCTGCGGGGGAGAAACGCCATAGATGCTGTCCTCGGGGAAGCAGGACACCGGCTCTCTGAGAGGGAAGGACGAAGAAGAGGAGAGAAAGGCAGAAGCATGTTCAAATAATGGATGCAGTGAAGAACCACTTTCACACAAATCACGTGGAGGTAGAAAAACAAGCCATAAAGTTTAATTGTAACATCAGAGGAAAATGGTTTCTATCTATAGTTGTCACTAGATGATGAAAAAAGTGCAGCAAGGCCTAGAACATTTTTTTAGTCTGACCAACATCTTGTGAAAATCTGCCGGAGAGAGTGAATCATTAAGAGGACTGTTAATGGAAACAACATGAGGACTGAAGAGATGGGCGCTTTTACGGCTGGATTACTCACATTTCCACAGCAACTACACTCTAAAGCATGTGTCATCATCTTCAGGGTGGATTATCAACTGTGTGCTCTTCAGGTTATCCACTCAGTCGGCTAGTTCAACAGCTGCTCAGACACATGCCTGCTTCACACATGACACACATCCCTGATAACTGGCTCTATCAAAGCCTCAGCAGAGGCCCTGGTAGCTCGAAGAAGCCTTGAGATGATTTATTTACTCAGTAAGTGTCATCATGGAGTCCTCAGCTAAGGGTATCATGTAAAATGAAGCAAATACAAGAGCTGCAAGCAGGTCTACCAAGGTCCGAGTGCCCGCCTCCAAATCAAAGATGCACTGTCACGAGGCAACGAAGAGGCTGAGGCTTTTTTAAAATCACGTTTGATTGTATTTTTGGACAAGGTAAAGCCAGGTTTCCATCCAAACTTGGACACTATTGTTGTAACAAACTACCTCATCCTCCAGACCTCCTGACGTTACTAACGTTACATGGTGAGCTGATGAAAGCGTACAAGACTCAAGCAGACTATAACTATTCCAGGTCCATGACTGAAACGACGGCTGTCTTGTTTTTTGGTCGGATGGGTAAATTTGCTTGAGTGTAACTGTCTTTTATACTTCAACTCTGCATTTGTTTTTTTCCCCAATTTGACTGATTGGAACAGCTGTAAACGGAGCAAACTTTAGACGTTGGTGCAGTGTTGGTAGTCTCTGACTCCAGTTCCCTGCCCTCCGTCTGGACAGCACACTGACATATGACGTCATGTGCAAAGAAGCTATGAAAGAAGCACATAAAAACAGTTGGATGGAAACCCACCTTGAGACGCTCGCCTGCAGTGCACACTACTATGTAATGATCCATTGATCTGGATCGATGTCCTGATTTAATGATCAAAAATCCAATGTCATTGATGGAAAGTAAAAACTGTCATCATCTCTAAGATATGCCTTCATTTTAAAATTCCCATGGCACATCTGCGTCACCACCTGCTAACACCAGAGAGATAATGGCAAACAGCCAGGGAAAGACGATAAGGAAGGAATAAATCAGGAGAATGGAAATATTTGGGATTTTGGAGAAAAGATGGTTCAACAGACAACAATACTATATAAAATATTCAGGAAACATGATGAACCTGGCCGGGCATATCGCCCCTTAAAGTTGTTGCTCTTGCAACAGCAACATTAGCTCCTTTGTTTCAACAATGCCTGGCAGAAAAAACACGCATGTAGGCTGAAATTAAACTCTGCTGATCTGTCGAGACTTTAAGCAAAGGTGAGTAAGAAAATGTCTAAGTAATACAAGTTATTTATTAAACTATTAGTGAAGGAAAGTCTGCTAGCCACTCGGCTAATTTATGTTATGTAAAGAGGCTTAAGATAATAATAGTGACTAGCAAAAAAAAAAAATAAATGTTTTTTTTTCTATGATTCTTGAGAGTTATATTTTGTAGTTATTCATTTTATACTTTTGTTAAATGATCTTGTTGTGTTTTACGTGCGTTCTTGGAGTCAGTTTGAAGTAAAATTTACTGCGTCTATCAGGTTACAATTATATATGTATTGTTTTTTTCTTTTACGGCCCAAAGCATCAAATTAAGGGGTGGCAGATTCTTTTGTAACCAATTGTGCTAAATGTGCATGATGATGTTATATTATATACCTGAATTAAACTGATTCAATATTATATTATTTAGATCGGTTCCCGTCTGCAGCCAGGCACAGGAAAATAAAAGGCTCGCTAACATTAGTGTGCTAGCTACGTTAGCTATGGCTGAATGCTGGCAGGCAGAGACAAACATCTATGATCCATTGGCCATTTAAAAACCCAAATAAAGAACACTTTTTTTCTAGAATGAGCAGAAGTTACTGTAGTCTGTTATGATGAAGGAGTTGATAAAAAGACAACATTAGCTAGTTGGAAAGTTGTGTAGTGTTACTTCCAGGAAGTTATAACAGTTCTTTATGACAGTCATTTCACATCACATAAGTATTCAGTTCATGTAGGCTAAACCTAACACACACTCCTCTTTTGAGCGTCCAACAGTGATTATAGCCTAAATGTTATAATTAACTGGAGACAAAACCTTTTTTTCTAATACACGTAAATCATAAACCCATGGATACAAAAACATCTCATTGCAATCAGTTGAGAAATATAAACACTGTAGTGTTATTTTATCCAGAAAAGCTACAGCTCCTTGTTTGTCGACAGGCAAGTCTTGCTCTCTCCAATACGACGGCGGCATTGACGCACTGCTGCAACGAGCTGACACAGTCAATGAGGTGTCTACGTATATACGTCTATGGTGTCAAACACACAAGTCCTGATTTGTGCTCTGTCTGTTGATTTGGTTGGTGACTCTTCACACATAGTGACTCTTCACACATAGCTGACGTCTCAGCAGCTCTTACAGATAATGACTGCAGTCTGCCGACATGTCAAGTGATGAGAAATGTAGAGTAAAGCCAGAGATCCCCCAGCTATAGTGTCACATTGTAGAAATGGATGTAACGTGTTGATCTGACTGGAGAATACTGACAGTCACTTATCAGATGAGCATGACGGATAAATTGTATAAGTTAACAAAAGTCTCTAAATTTTTCAAACTGGGACGACACCTTTATCGGACATGATCATTTATAGAGAGTAACTGATCTCTTCTCAGTCAGCGGTAATTGTCCATTCAACTGGATCTGTGAGTTAAAAGCTCATTATGATCTGAGGCAGAGACAAATCACCACACCTCACTGACGCTTCTCAACAGGAATCTGCCACAGCATTCATATCCTTTCCGCTTTTACCTACCTAGGTGACAGATTCACGGGTTTTTGGGTTCTGTAACAGCTCTTAGAAAAGCAGTGTTGCACAACAACAGACCTGCCGGACCCTGTGGACCTGACACGAGGGGGACAGGAATAGACAGATGGACTAATGAAAGGCCAGAGTGATGATATAGGCAGATGAAAAGACCTTATTGAGGCTGTTCTTTTACACAAAATCCAGTATCTGTATGTCTGCCACCTTTGTGTGAAATGTAATAAATTTCACCTGTGCTAAATTATAAATAGCATTTCTTTGAGCAGACATGTTCATACAAATCCCGTGTTCAAAGACAGCCATAAGAGTCATGCGTTCACTCAAAAAAACCCTGGACGGCACTAAAAGATGGAGTCAGAGGCTCGAAAATTCATCTCTCCTTCATTCTTCTCTTAAGTCACCAATTTTCATCTTATCATCATTGCAAGAAGACGTCAAGTGAGCAGGTAATCGTATCTGTCAGACCTGGGCTGCTTCACTGCCTTTACTACTCCAGGACAGCAGCACTGACCCTGAGAGACTTGAACAATTATGTTTCTACAATCTGCCGTCTTTCAAACTGTAAGCGCAGCAGGACTTCGTCAAGTATTCGAAAACTATGGACGGCAATGGCACTCAGTTGTTTGACCACTTTGGTCCAGACTTAAATATCTCAATATGCACTGGATGCAGGGCACTTGGCACTTTTCTAATAGTAGATGAAGAGTCTTTGGATTTAAGACCAATGGTTGGACGAAAGAAGCAAATTAAAAATACTTTCAGTGCATCTTTGTCCATGATGTCCTGCCCTTGTTTGGTTCAATAGACACACTCACCACCTCCTTTTTTCTCTCCTTGTATTCTAAGTGACAAGAAGACCTCAGAATTGCATCTCTGCTTTTCGCAGATGATGTGGTTCTGTTGGCTCCATCACACCGTGACCTCCAGCATGCACTGGGGCGTTTTGCAGCCGAGTGTCAAGCAGTTGGGATGAGAGTCAGCACCCTCAAGTCTGAGGCCATGGTTCTCTGCCGGAAACTGGTGGATTGCCCTGTCCGGGTTGGGGGAGAGTTACTGCCTCAAGCGAGGGAGTTCAAGTATCTCAGGGTCTTGGGGCCTGGGTGGCTTAGTGGTAGAGCAGGTGCCCCATGTACAAGGCTGTTGCCGCAGCGGCCTGGGTTCGACTCCAGCCTGTGGCCCTTTGCTGCATGTCACTCCCTCTCTCTCTCTCTCTCTCTCCCCCCTTCACGCTTGTCTGTCCTATCTATTAAAGGCTAAAAAGCCCCAAAAAATATCTAAAAAAGTAAAAAAGTATCTCAGGGTCTTGTTCACAAGTGAGGTTAGTACGGAGCATGAGATGGATAGGCGGGTTGATTTACTGGTTCATCTACGTCCCAGCCCTCACCTATGGTCATGAGCTCTGGGTAGTGACTGAAAAAATGAGATCGTGGATACAAGCGGCGGAAATGAGTGTCCTCCATGGGGTGGCTGGGCTCAGCCTTAGAGATAGAGTGAGGAGCTCGGACATCCGGAGGGAGCTCTGAATAGAGCCGCTGCTCCTTTGTGTCGAAAGGGGCCAATTGAGGTGATTCAGGCATCTAAACAGGATGCCTCCTGGGTGCCTCCCGCTGGAGGTGTCCCAGGCACGTCCAACTGGTAGGAGGCCTCAGGGCAGACCCAGAACACGCTGGAGAGATTACATATCTCGTTTGGCCTGGGAACGCCTTGGGGTCCCCCAGGAGGAGCTGGAAACCATTGCTGGGGGGAGGGACGTCTGGGGTGCTTTGCTTGGCCTGCTGCCCCCGCGACCCAGCCCGGATAAGTGGATGAAAATGGATGGATGTATTCACAGTTTAAAATATCTTCTATTTAGACATTATTTCATCAAATCGCTCCATTATCAAAATACAGAATGATTGCACAAATACAGAAACAAAAAAACAACAACAAAAAAAAACAGCTGTTAGAAGGAATCTGGATGATGTAATGTAACCTAATAAGCGGGCTGGAGGATAGCGTTTGGTTTAGAGCCCTGCGCAGGAGCCCGAGGCCCGAGGGGCCTGACAGCCCGACAGCCTGAGGGCCGGGCTTCGGGCCAATTACCACATCATTACCTCGGACACAGGCTGGGCTCGGGCTTTTTTTTTTTTAAACCTGCCAATTAGAGAGATGTGTGTTTGTGTTTAACCAATTTAAACAGCAACATTTGAACGCAGCAGCTGCTGTGCCTCTCCCTCTCCGCTGCACGTCACTCATCATATTTTACTGATACCATTCGTGCGTCCAGCCCACAGGTCCCGCCACAAACATGGACAACATAAAGAAAAAGATTGAAGATGGTGAACTTAAGACGGTGAGCAACACCAAGGGAAAAGCACAGTATTGGACAAAGTTTAAACTTGTTACAACCCTTCAAGATGAGCCAACTGGGTTTGTTCAGTGCAGTCACTTCAAAAAACAAAATAATCAATTAAACAACCCCAAAAATGCTTCAAACACTTCTCTAAATAATCTTAATATTGAAAGGAAACGAAATATACCCACTTATGCCATTATAAGTGCTTAGATAAGGTCGGAGGTCTATAACTGCACATATGTACAGTTATAGACCTCCGACCTTATCTGGGTATATTTCGTTTCCTCCTTCCTAATAAAGTTTTATATGCGTTTGTGCCAAAGCACTTTAAATTTTGACCCTCTGTGTGTTTTCCTGGAGAGATTAGATCATCCACAAAAGAACCTAGGACTTGGCTCTTTGTCAGGGTACAATGAGCTGGGATTTGCACATCCAAAGACCTCCGCCTAATCCAGCAGTGTCTGTTTCACATGACCTTCAACCTTTCCTCCTCTGAACAATGACCCCTTTGCTTCCATCTGGCCTTCTAGAAAATGGTTAGCTATGACAAACCTTTTAACTCATGGTCCTCTTACAAAGCTGCGAGATCTTCTACGAACAGAAATCTTCACCTGCCAACTCTCGCTTTAAAGTGCAGCACAAGACGAACTAAAGCTTCAGCACGCTGATATATTTTGTCCTCTACCATTTGTCTGGTCTGTACAGGTACCATTTCACAGATATCTGTTTATGTTTCATTCAGCTATGATGGATACAGCTAAACATCAAAGCCCATCTGGCTACCTGGATGTATTTTTAGAGCAAAACAATAAAACAACCCCTTCGGTTTCCTCTCATGCCTCCGCTGCTGTCTCTTGGCTCTTTCTCCTTCAAAAGCCTTCACTCCAGCAGCTCTCATTTTGAGCTGAAAGTGTTATTTTTCTTGAGATTGGGGATAGATTTTTAATACCACTGTGCTGAGTGAGTGGTAAACTATTTCTGTGTAGAAAGGCACTCGATAAAAATATCAGTACTTTCAAATATCTTACTTCCTTTCTTTTATTTTTGGACTCAGGGCTTTATAGGTATATAAAACTCGCTACTTTTTGTCTGCTATGAGAGTGTGTTAATAGAACACAGCCAAACTACTTTTTAGCAGCTGGAGCATCACTCTCACTCTCAGCAGTAAAATTAATAAACATATTTCCCAAAAAGTCGAAATATGCCTTTTAAAATGTATTTGTCCGACTGTTGAAAATCTCTGGTTGTCTTTTACTTTAATACTTGGATTACTAAAATCAATTACGGTGCCTGTTGTTTATTTATTCATTTTTATTATTTCTGTTTACCTGACAGGGATAAAGCACAGTTTCTTAGCTGTATGCTAATTTACATATTTCATCCTTGGATAGGAAACGGAGAGTAACAGCTTTGTTTTAGAAAATTAAAACTGTAATTAAAAACACAATGACAAGGCAGCACTTACTATACAACAATGTCAATAACAAGATTTTATAACATAACTTTGGCATTCTTCATCCTTGTTTTTGCCACTGACAAGCTCACTTACTATGAATTATCTAGGTGTCTGAAAACATCATGGAAAGGATCTCCAGAACAATATACCTTTTTGTCAAACAGTAAAATCCTTTCTGTTTAACCAGAAACAGCCTTGAAATCACTAAATCCACCAGACTCCGTTTAAATAAACAGCCATTTTAGCGTGTATAGATCCAGCATAGTCACATTTAACTGGGTGAATTAAGGGTTTATTTCAATTAAACCAGAGCTGGTGATTGTTGGAACACTGGAAAGATGAACCAAGGTGGCTTTTGGGAGTTTTATTTTGTTTCATTCGACTCTGAATGAAGTGTGTTGTACAATGATAAAATTACTGTTTATTTAAGTGGAGTCTGGTGGGTTTAGCAACAGCAATGTCAAGGCTGTTTCTGGTTAAACATAAAGGATCTTATTCTAACAAAAAGGTCAGTTTTTGTAGGGATCTATTCCATAATGTTGTCAGACACGCCTGCCCTGTTTGGTTCGATTCAATCAAACTCAAGTTCTTTTGCCTCCTAAGTGTGGTTCATTTGGGCAGGTGTGAACACAGCAATCACACTCAGGTGTGCACCAAAACAACCGGACCGAGACCTTCTTGAAGAGGTGGTCTTGATACGGAACTCTGGTGCAGTTCATTTGTGGTGAGAACATGTTCTGACCTTGATCTGAATCAAATGCAGTCACAAGACACATTGTTTGTGTTAAACATGAGCGTGTTACAGTCCTGGAGGATTATTAATGTGCACCTCCTCCTGTACTGCCTTAATATGCACATTCAGCACATCCAATGCATCAAAATATTGTTTTCTAGTTGGAGCCGCGCCTCGTTTTCAAACTGTATGGTTTGACTAAAATGAACAATGACAGCAATATAGTCCACGATGAGCAGCGCTAAAATCAACCTGCGTAGTTGTCCCTCCACTGTGACATTAGAAAGTGTCACATTTATCTTGCAAGTGTCCTCTTCTTCAACGTTTGGTTTACTTCCTGGATTTTTCCCGCATGGAAATTCTGACCAATCAAGAGCAGCTTTCTCGCACAAGGCATTTGATCTGGTCCACTTGTAAATGCTGCTGTGAGAACACGAACCAACTCTAGGCAATTATACAACTCTGTAATAAAATCAGTCCCTGATTTGAACCAAAGTCAGACAACTCTAAGTCTGAAAGCACCCTTTGAATAACAATCTGAGTCTGGCAGTGGCAAAATCAAGTTTCTAGTGGACATACATTGACAGTGCGCAATTGTATATTAATGTTACATTGCAGCCTGTTTTGCCACTGCCAGGGTCTCGCTTTGTATTGGACCAATTTCAAAAATTGCTGTCTCCATTGTTGGACACAGAAACATAGGAAAAAAGGTCCAGGTTGAAAAACAGAAGTTGCCCTTTAAGGCACCACAACAACAAGAACAAGATTTCACAACATACTCATCCCGTGTTTGCGTTTATGCGTGTTGGGTACATGATCAGGTTGATTCAAGCTATGATGTCATATTGAATTTAAAAATCATTCAAGCTGCAGCACTGTCTTATATAAAAGTTTGTTGCTCTAATAAAGAAGGTTGAACTGTCAAACTCACACACGCATGCATGCACGCACGCACGCACGCACAGTCACCTCTATCGGTTGTCCTATTATCCGACCACATGATATGAACTCTTTTAATGGCGGAGGAGCCGAATTATTGATCACCTTGTACATCAAACTGGCATCAGCAGGACTCACAAGACCATCAAAGGTCAAGAGGTTATACTGCTAAATGGTGTCACAACGATGGTGACTTGACGGCTTCTGTCCAGTGTCTTGCCGTGTTCGTTTTGTTGCTTTTCCATCTTGTGATACAGTATGAAATGTGTGAAAAGATCATTGAGTGCATGTACAGTTTTGCTGCATCTACAGGTAACTGGGTTTAGAGAAACCTTGTATGTATCTGCACGCAGTGTATAAGCATATCCATGTGAGTGTTTAAAAATAGAAGAGCATTAGAAAAATTAGAAGAGGGAGCATAGCACGGCAATTTTGTGTCCCGTCATTTCTCTGACAGAACACTGTTTGATTTGAGCCCTGTCAATGCTACAACATTCACAGAGCAAGCATGTACATTATGCGTGACGTAGCAAGAGTGAAAAGAGAATGGATATTCAGAGGAACGGTGGAGACATTGTGCCACTGATATGCTGTCTGTGAATGTGTGAGTGAGAGTCAGAACCACAAAGAAAAAGAGAACAAGACAAAGAGGGAAAGTGCTACTGTGTCTGTACGGCTGCACATTGCCATCCCACGTGTGTCGAGTTTTGAATCTGGCTGAAGACAAAACACCCGCTGGGTCACGGCTGCAGCTAGCAGGAAGGCAAAGGGGTGAACTATCTTGGAAACAGCAGGGTTGACAAGAAGTAAAGAAAGAGTATTTGGTTAAAAGAGCTTAAGATTAAACAGCACACAGCCAGAAGCCTCCCTGGAGACCACTTAGTGTGAGCAACTGTGTTCACTTGTCCCAAGGCTACTGAGTGGTATCTAAAAGGGCTGGATTAGAACTGCAAACCCAAACACATGAATGGGGATTACCGAGCTTGGGTACATATGGCTTTTTTTTTTGGTCTGTCTGTGTGTGGGTGTGTTTGGGTTGATTTGTCATGTGTTTTACTCACAAGCAGATGATGTTTGCCAGGTTTATGTGTTCTGTTCTTTCCACCCTGTGCTGGCTCTCGCCCAGACGTGCGAACCTGCAGAAAAAAAAAAAAAAAAAAAAGAAAAATGCAAAATTAACTGAACGTAATTAAAAAAAAGTCAGGTAACAGTGTAATTAATCTCTAAAGGACCCTTCATATTTTAGATTCATTTTGTGTATTTTTCAACACAAATATTTAGAGATGAGCTCAACATGTCTGTTGGGATCTTGAATGTCATCAAATCTCAAATTTCCCCCAAGGTTATTTTTCTCCTGCAAAGACACAATAATATGCAACAGTTGAGAGTGTTCCCCTCTGGCTCCTGCTTATGATTTTTTAATATTAATGCACTGATTAGCAGCGCTTTGGCTGCAGCTAACATCTTTGGAGCCATTCCAACTTACAGCCTGAATAATGAATGCAGTTTCATTCTCATTATGTGCCACGACAGTAGGAGGATATGAACAATATTCTTCAAGACAATTTGGATTTTTTTTTTTTAAAGTCAATTCCCTGTGCTTCAATCACCCCTCAAAACTGTGGCTGCCATCAAAGCCAGAGATACGTATCTAAGAAATAAAAGTAATTCTTTCATTGCTGATTTGTAACATCTCTCCACATGCAGAGATATGCCTCAGTCAGTAGCTTTCAGTCCATCTGAACATTTTAACATAGTTATTAACAGCAAGAACACTTTCTGAGAAACACTGACAGTCATGCTCCATATTCAAAATGCAACAGGTCTGGTGTTTAAGGTTCACCCCGATCTGTTGGGACTAGGGTTGGGCAATATGATGGTGTATGCAACGTGAAAGATTTGTGTAGAAAAACTGAAATGGATTCTCACATGATCTTGTGATTACTGTGTGAAACCGTGAGTCCAGCTGCCTCGCAAGGTAACGTGACTTGGGCTGACATGGCGGAAGATGGTGAAGTTATAAATACAGAAGCCTGTAACACTTAAGGGTAACACTAAACGCTGTCGCGGTGCGCATGTGTTCCCGGGCGCCTATTTCCAATAGCTGCACCCTGAGATAAACAGCTACAAGATCCAACTTTTACAATGAAGCAGGACACACCGCACGTCATGTGATGAGGATGAGGATGTGGATTTGAATTATAGCCACTGATTTCTTTCTTTTCTTCTATAAATATCAGTCTGTGGAGGAGAAGTTGATCATTCTAGTGCAGAGCTGCCAGAGCTTCACGTCTGTCCCGTGGACAGTAGGCCTACACACAAACAGCGCCTGGAAGAAGATCATTTCTGCGTTCATGATTTCAGGTACACAGGCTATGATACAGCGCTTGTCAAGGTTGCTTAGCAACCTCAGACGCAACCTGCAGCCACGCTTCTGAAAGCTGGCAGAGAAAGAGAAGAGTTGCACTCAGTGCCCGGCCTCACGTTTTCCAGGCGGTTAAAGACGCAGCATTTGCACGGCCCCTAAGGCCTCCATCAGACAGAGTGCTTTATGTAGCTTGCTGTCTCTTTATTATATTTTTACTAATTAACCACAAAATCACCTGTCCTTATCTTAATGGTTCTTAAGTAAACTTACAGATCTGTACCTTGAAATCTACATAAACCAAAGTAAAAGCTTCACAGTTATATGCCTCCAGTTTACATCCATGTCTGTGAAAACATAGATGCTTCACATAAATCAAACACTGCCGCCCGCTCTCCGGCCGCACTCGCACAATTCTGAAATTCGTTGTAGGCTACTACAAAAGCTTGAAATGAACGTTCAACTCATTGTTTTTTATTGAAAATATGTCACTGTCTTCATTTATGATGTATAATTTCTCTAGCAGCAAACACATTTAAAAGGAGACCCTTGTCAAGTCTTTTTACGTGCGCTGTCCGTGGTGCTGAAATCCCCGCTGCGGCCACCTCTCTCTGCTGTCAGCAGACTGGGGGAGAAAAATAGACATTTCTTTGCTTTGTGCTTTCAGAAAATAACCAGGGTTAGGGTAAGAAAGACCAACGGTCTGTACAGCAGTCCCACTGTTTGCCTGGGCATATCAGGCTGTGTGATTCTGCACAAAGATTGGTTTAACGCATTGGAGCAATTTCATACAATTTCAGACATTTAACATGATAAACTAATTTCAATTCAACATGGTCATTTGCTTATAGAGGATTCAGCTGAAGCATATTGAGTGTTATATGTCATTAAGATTAAGTATTTGCTTGTTTTGTGGTTAATTATGCACATAATCCGTTTGACATGAATGGGATTTTTATTCGTCCCTGCAGACAGAGGCAAAAGGATCAATGTGCAGCCTGTGTTTCCTTTGCGTCCGTCTCGTTCATTCAAACTTTATAAACACGGTTGGGATTTGTAGGGGACATACATGTGTATGCTGCTCACTATAAAATGTGTTTACTAAAATGTGTTTACTAGCCTCATTTCTAGTCAAAACAAATCTCTTTACACTTTAAAAAATACTTGTTTCAAGCAAATTTTCACTTGAAATAAGTATGAAAATTTGCCCATGGAGCAAGTTTTTTTTTTTTTTGCTTGTAATAAGAAAAAAAAAAACTTGCTCCACGGACAGATTTTTTTCTAGTTATTTCAAGTGAAAATTTTCCTGAAACAAGTGAAAATTGTCTAAAAACAAGTTACTTTTTAGGTGATGAGTCTTATTTCAATTGTAATGAGATTTGTTTTGACTAGAAATAAACATTCTTGGTAAGATTTTGTGTTTTTATAGTGTACATACACATACATTGCAGCTGTGCCTGGATAGTGTGACGTGTGTGGTTGTGCTGCTGCCGTGGTCTTGCCTGATGCCTCCTGCTGCTGCTGTTATCATTAGTCATACTTCTATTGTTATTATGCACATATGATTATTGTCACACATGTATACTGCCAGATATTAATATATTATTATTAATTATAATATTATTACTTTCATTAATGTTGTTGTAAGCTACTGTCATTACTGTCTGTCCTGCATCTCTCTCTGTCTCTGTCTCTGTCTCATTGTGTCATACGGATTACTGTTAATTTATTATGCTGATCTGTTCTGTACGACATCTATTGCACGTCTGTCCATCCTGGAAGAGGGATCCCTCCTCAGTTGCTCTTCCTGAGGTTTCTACCGTTTTTTCCCCCGTTAAAGGTTTTTTTTGGGGGAGTTTTTCCTTATCCGCTGTGAGGGTCCTAAGGACAGAGGGATGTCGTATGCTGTAAGGCCCTGTGAGGCAAATGATGTTGTGATGATGTAATTTGTGATATTGGGCTTTATAAATAAAATTGATTGAAATTGATTGATACATACACGTTTTGACCATGTTGTGACTGTTTGAAGGTCTTCATTCTTGCTGTTGTGGTTTGAGTCGTGTTGTGAGTTAGCGCAGCTCACTGTTCAATAAACAATTGAGCTTGGATGTAGTTGCACTAGTTACTTTCATTTTGCTGTAGCTTAGCTTGCTACATTTCTGAGGGTGATAGCTTTGATGTAGTGAAGCTTCATTTAATATGAGAGTAACTAGTAGCTTAGCTCACTACACTTTCCAAGTAGCTTGCCCAACACTGATTGTGACATCATAATGTTCTGCATAAAACAGTTTTCTGGCCATTACTCAATGTCATAACTCAGGAACAGAAAGGGACACATTTGGACATTTGGTGAATTGATGACACTTACCTTAGGTGTCCATGTGCGCCAAATTTGAAAAATTCCCTCAAGGTGTTCTTGAGGTATCATGTTTTCAAGAATGAGACAAACAAAGTCACAGTGAATATCAAAACTGTTATTCTTTTTTGGTTCATGTTTTTCTAAGTCAAAATTCTCGTATTCCAGTTTCTTAAATGTGATTTTTTTTCTGTCTTCCTTACTCCTCTATGACAGTAAACTGAATATCTTTGGGTTGTGGACAAAACAAGACACATGGGAAAAACTGATCGACCTTTTCCAACATGTAGAAAATAATCTTTAGTTGCAGCCCTGTATTGCTTCAAGATGAGACCATACCAGTTATCATCAGTGGGTTTAGGACAGCAGAGTGTGTGGAAAAAAAGCTATTAAAGCTCCATCAAACGCATCACACTGTATCAAACGTGCAGTTCGGATCCAAAGAACAGACAGCTGTATTCATTATCAGAGCCTGACGATGGCTTTTCACTGTACCTCATCAACAAGGTGGGGAGCAAACAAGGAGAAAGGACAAAATGAAACAGAAAGGACAGACAGAAAGTGACACTTGGGGTTAAAGGAAGGGAGAGGTGGACAAAAAAAGCAATGAGGTCAGAAGTGTGATGCACACAGCGGGGCAGAGTTGACAATGTCCCTTTAGCAAAAAGACCGATATCACCCTGAGGGGGTGACTGATGCTGACTGCTTGTTCCTCCCCTATCTGTCTTGGGAACTGAATGCATCGTCCGTAACAATAAATACATTTTCCTCAGGACCAGTTAAATGAGCAGAGGCAGTCAGAAAATAACGCAACCGTTTGCTGCAACGTGGCATTAAAAAACATGTTAGACATATGTATATATACTGAGAGCTGAAGGACAAACAGACAAACCAGAAGCCAGCTAAAGTTGGTATAGTAGGTATGAGATATAGCACACGTACCCTGTGTTTGAGAGGTTGTGTGCGTGTTACTTCCTCAAAACTTCAGAAATATCTCTCAGTATAATGCAGTCCACTTCAACACCTCTGCAAACTACAACCTCAATAATGAACATATTGTCAAATTAAAAAAATACTTTACCCCCCTGAATGACCCGCTGTTTATCAGTTACTCACCCTGTGTTACGTTGAACTCATAAAGTGTTTGGGGAGGGGGGGGGGGAGATTAACAATGAGTTGTTAATCATGGACTCCTATAACTTCAATTCATCAAGAATTTTCTCCGTTTTTAGCTGGATCGCAACATGTGCCGCCAGCCCTATAAACGCTAAAGTCTGTCCGTGAGTGAGTGACTGATGAAGTTGCATCTTTGGAGTGAGTGATGACAGTAATATCTAACAACTTAATGTCTAACCAACCACTGTTGTCACAGTGTAGGAAAGTACATTGCTATAATCAGAGAAGTGACAACTTGGTTCGGCTCATTTTCTGTGGCCACTGTAACATTAGCATAAAAGCGTGGTGGAATTAGCAAGCTAGCTAAGTAGCAAGCCACAGTTGAAATGGCAGTTTTGGACAAAGGAAAGACCTGATCACCTCAATAATTTCTTTGAGGAGCAGCTGTGTCTGTATGACACAAACCTTACATTTATTTAAATGTTATTGAATTTTATGTGTTACAATGTCAGAATGGGTGCTGCCATTGTTAGGAGGAGAATGGGAAAATGGCGACAGGTGACACTGATTAAAAATTGAGGTAAATATTATGTGTACACAATATCGCCATGATGACTGATAGGATGTTTGTTATTAGTGGAACTTGGCTCCAATTGTGGCCGATGGCTCCAGCAGTCACATGGGGACGTCCATCCCAAACCAGAGCTGAAGAGGGGAGGGTTGTGTTAAATGATCAGTGGGTACATCGCCAGAGAAAGCAGGTCCCTTCTGCTGTGTGATTCTGTCGAAGTGTACTGTCCTTCATTTTAACATGCATTTACATGAATTTTGGGGGCTAGACCGCAACAACGGGGCCAGCACTGTAAAAGGAGACAGTTGAGTTTACCTAATTTAGGGGCTGTGCACATACCGCCTTTTTTGCGCCCTCAAATTCATTGTTTTCAATGTAGACGCCCAGGCAGGCGCGCTAAAACGCCAGAGCAACGTCAGGGTGATGCCAGAGCGGTGCGCACACGTTCCCAAGTGCCCATTTTTCAAGGTTCGACGGCTGTGACAGATTTCTTTCCCTTCTTCCGTAAATACCAGTCTGTGGTAAATATGGAGGAGAAGTTGATCATTTTAGTGCAGAGCTGTCAGAGCTTTAAATCTGCCCCACGCACAATAAGCCTACACACTTATAAACAGCATCTGGAAGAAGATAATTTCTGCACACAGGATTTCAGTTAAACAGGATATGGTACCGTGCTTGTTGAGGTTGCTTATTACCTTTCATAAATGCGCAGGTCTTTGTCTTCGGGTAACTCAGCCAGATTGAGTCCGTAGGGCTCCTTCACTGACTGCTGCTGCTGGATCTCCTGAGGAGAGGAGAAGGGAAAGGTAAGAAGCTACAGTACACGTGACTGAGACAGAAGAACATAAAAAGGTTTTCACAAGTTTTACCGCAACTTTAAAAGGAAAGAATAAAACGGAGAGAAACATTACAGCAGGTAAAACTGTCTGCTAACGGCCAGCTTCTCCAAACAGCAAATCAAGTAGCTGCAGCTCAAAATATAACACCATTGAGACAAGGTCATCAGGTTCAACCGCTTCTCTACAACTGATTCACTACTTAAGATGGCCCAACGAGTGTAATTCAGACAACTATGAATGTAATTTGATTGTTGATGTCTGATGAGATGGTGTCGTGTTCAGGGACAGTGCCCTCCTGGGGGTCTTGCACACAGCGTGCAAAGTTAGTAGGGACATAATAATCACAATAAAAATGATCAGTTTGAAAGGGTCAGACCAGTTCAAGCTGATTCTTCAAGGCTTCATGTGAGAAGATTTTGTGATCACAACAATTGTGTAATCACTGTCTGTTCTTGGGAAATTATTGAAATTATATCTACAAAGAGACAAAAATAAACTGTTGCAAAATCAAGTTGGAAGATAATGAAATCATAACCAGAGGTCATTGATCATGAGGTTATGCTCCCTTAAGAAACACGCTATTGCACCATATATGAAATAAGACCTTCAATTAAAAAATGCAATTAACCAATGAGATTAATGCGACCTAAAAATCTAACACCAAGATAAAATGAAATAAAACTGTTGCCAGGGTTAATTCATTATTACACAAAGCTATGGGAACATCAAATAAAAGAAAAACAATAAATATTCCCAGGAGCACTTTTTTAATCATGCTGTGATTTATGTTATTTTTTTAGTTTCATGGAAACATGTAATTAACCTGCATTAAGCTCAATTCATAATAAATAGTTTAGCATTTCCTCTTCCCATTTAAACCAGCAATGATATTAAGTAGTGCTGTGGTCTATTAACCCTTCCTATGATGATCAACGACAGCTCGGTGCAGCAGAAAGACTGTCTAAAAACTTGTCCTAACGGTCTCCAGCAGCAGGGTTGCATCCCTTTAAAGTCAAAACAAGACAATGAGGCTACAGTGTACACGTGCTCACTCAGACCAGACGATGTAAGTGGCAAGAAAACATTGTCTTGTCTGATTCATCTCAGTTTCATCTCAAAAAAATATTTCAGAAACCGCTTGGCTAGTCTGACTCACCAGATTCTTATATCATACGAAAAATGCTTATCGTGATACTCGCGATATTTCGGCTTGTTGACGTCAAACTGTTCCCCACGGCAACAACAAGTATGGCTGAAAGTGAAGTAATTACAGACTCCGTGGTGGTTCCAAAAAGAGGAGCAGCTTCAGTAGTGTGGAATAAACTGTGGCGTCCTGAATGTTTTATGAACAGCCCTGGACTTATCAGACTCTTTTAGGAAGTTACTGCTTAGAGGGAACTCAGTCAGCGGGAATCTCATGCTCAAAGGCGATCCGCTGTCTGACACCGCCAGTCAGAAGTAATTTGCAACATCTTTTAACTCTAGCAGCGGCATGCGCTTCTGTAATAACGTCGTAATTATGTTCTGCTAGAGCCACATATAGCGGGCAAATTGTCCATGGTTTTAACCAGCCGTGTGAGCTCCTCCAGAGCTGAGGTACAGTCATGCTTCACCTCTAAGGTGCCGATTATCAAATTATGTTGGTCTTTTTTATCTGTAAAAGTTGCAGAGGCATTTTATTGACAGCGCTCGCCTCCCCACTTGCAAATGTGAACACCAACATCAGTTCATCCTGACACTATTTTGCAGCAGCACTGTTGCTGCTTTCTGGGCTCAGCGCCTCCAAAGACAAATGCGGTTGGTTAAAAGAACACAAAAACGCCAGAGCATTTTGCCCCTGTAGCAGAAAGATAATGTGTGCTTCCAGACCTTTCTCTAGCACTGACATGACGCTGTGGCAATACGTCTGGCTGCACGAGACCTGGTTTTGGCTACTCCAGTGACTTAACTATTTTCTTGCTGTTGTTTTATATACTAGGCGGTACAGTGGTTATCACTGTCGCCTCACAGCAAGAGAGTTCCTGGTTCAAATCCGAGTTGGGGGAGCCCTTCTGTGCAGAGTTTGCATGTTCTCCCCGTGTCAGCATGGGTCCTCTCCGGGCACTCAGGCTTCCTCCCACAGTCCAAAGACATGCAGATTAAATGGTGACTCTGAATTGTCCGTAGGTATGAATGTGAGTGTGAATGGTTGTCTGTCTCTATGTGTCAGTCCTGTGATAGTCTGGTGACCTGTCCACTGTGTACCCTGCCTCTTACCCAGTGTCACCTGGGATAGGCTCCAGCCCCCCGCAACCCCCAACAGGATAAGCAGTCATGGAAAATTAATGAATGTTTTATATACTTGGTATCTAAGGTGATTTATCAGTCACATGACCGACCAATGGACTGTATATAAGAAAACTGTTACCAGCCTCGGATACTGCCCTGATTAAAGAATGGATGTATAAAGAGACCTGGATACAGCATTCAAGGCAGGACCCCATTCAATTCTTTGAAAGTTGCTCAGTGGCACATGAAGCCAAAAACCGTTTGACTTCCTGAGTATAAAATTACCCTGATCTTCTTGAAATGTTATCGGACAAACTAGATTGCATCTCACTCGTAAAATGAGACATTCCGCAGGGGTTGTGATGGTCAAACAAAATGTATCCACTGATTTTCAGATGTCTCTTTCACAATGTTAGTCTATCGGAAAAAGTCTTTTGGGCCCAATGACGAACCTAAAAGTTGTAATTATGCAGTTCGCCACTATGTCAAATTGGCTTCAAAGCCCGGTGCTGTTCCTGGGGGCCTAGATGACCGCCTGAAAGCCTAAAACATTTGTCAAATAGACCACTGCAACCCAGGAAGAGGTGCGTGTTGTGTTTCAATTTTAATAACAGAATAAAATTAAGCTTTGAAAAATTGAGGAACCTCATCAAATTACTTGGGTTTCCATCCAAGTATTACAAATTTTAAACCAAATTTTCAGGAAATCTGCAATAAAAATGCAAATTTATGCACTTTTTCCATCCACTATGTGAATACTGGGCGTTGATTCATCAAGATAAGCAGTAGGAGGTGCTAATTATCCAGTCAGGTGCCACTGCAGAAAAACTAGGCCAAACAAGATGACGTAAGTACAAGAGCGCCAGTCAAACTTCAAACGATGAAAACAATCAATGTACAATAATGACGAGCACACTGGACAATAGAAATAGAGTACTGAACAGCTAATATTACAGCTATATGCCTTTGGAAGAGTTTTGGTAACAGCCACATGTGCATACATAAGCCTGTTAAAGCCATTCAGGGACAACAAAGAGAGCTTGCTGTGGCCTATGCAATGACTGTGCAACATCATTTATTTGCTGAATCTTAACTGCATTTACTTTTTTACTGAAACACCGACTTTTCCACCTCACCCAAGCATAAAAACTCTTTTGCCATATTTGAAGATTTTTTTCTAACTTTTGTTGTTTTTTATGCGCATATTGAAAATACACATAAAAAGAGGTGGAAGGAAACGCACCTAGAGATGCAAAAATTATGTAAATGCAATACCGTCATCGTGTTCAAACCCAGGATCCTTAGCCACAGAATAACCTCACAGTATCTAAGATGTAAAAGAGAGAAACTTTACTCTTTAAAAGTCCTGCAAAAGGTGTATTTTGCCTGCTTTTTATTAAGACTGAGAGAAGCTTGTTATGTAACAGTGTGCACAGCAGTGGCCATAAGCAGTCAGCTCTGCCATTGTTGTCTTTGACTGTTTTGACTGCAATATGCTCAACATAATGCATTCAGTTTTCACTGTATTTGTATTGATCCAAGCTGCCTGGGGGGGGGGTGTTCCAGGACCCTAGCCAAGACACAGCAGCTGTGAACACACACACACACACACGGGCATACAGACAAAATCACAAAAACACACAGAGGCTTGCACAAACACAGAGTACACGAGAACACACGCACGTACTGCTGTATAAACACATTCATATGGTGTGTGAAAGCACAGACGAGCATGTAAACACATACTTGCTTATACATACACCCACACACATTGCAAATCTATCCATGTTCATGCAGGCACACGTACGCCCATACTGAGGGGAATATGAAATGAGCATGTGTAATTACATGGCAAACGTAGTAATGATCTGATGTTTAAATATTTCAGCAGTTTTGTTTTGTGCTGGCACCCTGGCAATCCATTCTCAGGGACAAGCTCAGAGGCAGCGACACGAGACGCATGAGAACGAGAGTGTGTGCACCCGACACGTGAGCTAGCTGTCCAGACCAAAATATTCATGACTAGCTCGATGCTCAAGGCCCCGAGAAGACAGAGCAGAGAAAACCTACGGAAAACACATCATAAATCAGGAGGAGAAAGAGACGGATGGAGCCGGGAGGGGAGAGTCTTTACATCTAACTGAGGATCAGAAACGGTCCTGTTGAGTTTTATCGTGATTTTCTGCTCAGTTTAATCAAGGCTAATTTTTTTTTTTCTTGATGCACAAAAAGGTAGACATTTTGTAGCATCGTCAGTGTCCATCCAATTGGTGAAAGGCAGCTGACACATACCAGCTTTGGGCTGATACATCCAGGGTTTCTACACATTTTCATGGACACAATGTCAAAACTTTTTCATGACTTGTTATCCATCCGTCATCCATCCATCTATTTTCATCCGCTCATCCAGGGCTGGGTCGTGGGGGCAGCAGGCCAAGCAAAGCACCCCAAGCAAAGCACCCCAGATGTCCCTCTCCCCAGCAACACTTTCCAGCTCCTCCTGGGGGACCCCAAAGCGTTCCCAGGTCAGATGAGATATATAATCCCTCCAGCGTATTCTGGGTCTGCCCCAGGGCCTCCTACCAGTGGGATGTGCCTGGAACACCTCTAACAGGAGGCATCCTGATCAGATGCCCGAACCACCTCAACTTACCCCTTTCGACACAAAGGAGCAGCA